TCGGGTGCACAGAAAGGCTGGTGTGTCAGCAGATACGGGCTGAATCACGAATTTGTTCAGGAAGTCCAAGATTAAGTCCAGTTTATATTATTATGTAACAAGCTTACCTGCCAAGCAACACATCCAGGCAAATAAATTTAAAGTATTTTTGTGCAGGATACAGCTGGGATTCAAAACTTGTATTTACTTAAGACTTGTGTGAATGGTAAATAAGGCCACTTCCGTGGAACCCCTGAAAAAGGCAGTTTAAATATCTGGAGCAGGAGTGAAGGCTTCACCCACTCAGAAATGAGGAACATCAGGCTGGAAAGATGAGTTCCTATACCGCCAGGCAGGAAAGGGGGACTCTGAAATAAAGACTAGAAGATGGGACACCTGCAGTCTTCATACCAGGCAAAGATAAGCATTTCTAAAGTGCAGACATGGGGAAAAAAGATGTCAAACAATACTTAAAAGTGAACTGTTGTCATCAGTTCTGAAAGGACAGACAAAGGATGTCTGAAATCTACTGCTTCATAAAAACTATGAGAGGACAATGACCAAAACAGTGAAAATTAATTTTTTTTTCGGAATTCTGGAAATTAAGGGCTTACAACAATTCAAAGAGAATTTTACTCAAGAAAACAGCTGAAAGGACTTCCCCAGAAGTCTGGTAGTTGACTCCGTGCTTCCAATGCAGGAGATATAGGTTCGATCACTGGTTGGGGAACTAAGATCCCACATGTCATATGACACAGCCAAAAAAGGAAAAAATAGCTGAATCTGGGGAAAATGTCTTGTGGCAACGACTTGCCCTAATCTCACTCTTCTCCCCCCAGCAGCCTTGAAGGTCGAGAGCTCCCAAAATGACAACTGAAATCCAGTGTGCAGTCCCAAGACCAGGCAGAGATGGTGCATGCATGCTGTCGTGTCCAGCTCTCTGTGACCCCATGGACTGTAGCCCGCCAGACTGCTCTTCCATGGGATTCTCCAGGCAAGAACACTGGAGTGGGCTGTCAGGCCCTCCTCCAGGGGATCTTCCTGACCCAGGGATTGAACCCACGCCTCTTACGTCTCCTGTATTAGCAGGCAGGTTCTTTACCACCAGGAACACCAGGCAAGGGCCCAGCCTTTTAAAGGGTTCATCTGATTAGTTACAGCCCACCTGGAATCATCTTCCTTCCGATGAACGCAGGACCAACTGATCGGAGACCTTAATTACACCAAAGGTAAAAACCACTTACCTTTGACATGTACATTAACTATGGCAGGGGAATCCGTCCTACTCACACTCAAAGGGAGAGGGTTATGCAGGCTGTTTTCACTCGGGTCAAAGGTTTTGGGAGCCACCTTAGAATACTGTCTCCCCAATTTCCAAATTGAAATGTCAGTAACTTAATAAAAGCCACCATTTTTAATGTACCAGTAAGAAAAAAAAAACGGTCAATGAAAATGTGATATTCCATCAGCTGTAAAGTACATCCCAATTTCAGAGAGGTTGATTGTGAAAGAAAGCACTCTTGTTTCTTACTGTGCCGCCTACAGGAGCTGGCGTGGTGAACAGAGTCTAGGTGAGGACAGTGGTGGGTGAGGACTCGTGGCCTCTGGATCAACAGTTTATTTTTGGGTCACGTGGATTAGCTTGCCTTTGACTGCAGGTAACATAAAGCCTAAATCAAAATGGTCTAAAGAGAATATATGATTTCACATGGCATAACATGAGATCTGAATGCTGGCTGTCTCCTCTTAAGGGTCGTGAATTCCATGGCTCAGTTGTTCTCAAGGACCCAGGTTCTTCCCAACTCTCTTCTCTGTCATCTTCCACCGGCTAGTCGGCTCCCCTTGAGGTCTTAAGACAGCTGCATCCATTCTGGGTGTCTGTTTACACATGGCAACATCTAGTTCCTTACCATGTATCTCAAGAAATGTTCGCTTTTCCAGGAGTGCAGCACAGGACCTGAATTTGTATTTCAAGCTTAAGCCAACTAACGGCAAGAATGACTTTTCCATTAGTTGTTGAGACCAGTAGTATTCGACCTTGGCCATGCTGTTGAGTCATCTGAGAGCTACTTAAAAAACCTCAGGTTCACATCCCAGGCTTCCCTCCAAAACTCCACAGCCACAGTCTCTGCCTGGAGGGGGCCCCACGCACCAGTGTTTTTAACCCCCGAATGGTCATATTTAATAAAACTACTCACTGAGCTGAGGTAGCCGTGCTGGGTGTCAGGAATCCTATTAAGACCGGGGGGCAGGTAATTCAACACTTTTGCACCTGAAATACTGAAATTCTACAGTTGGGTCAGGTTAACACACTAGGAGACTACATAGTCGTTCAGTTACTAAGTCATGTCCAACTCTTTGTGACCCTATGGACCGCAGCACGCCAGGCTTCCCTGTCCTTTACTATCTACCTGAGTTTGTTGAAACTCATGTCCATGGAGTCTGTGATGCCATCCAACCATCTCATCCTCTGTCATCCCCTTCTCTTCCTGCCTTCAATCTTTCCCAGCATGAGGGTCTTTTCCAATGAGTCGGCTCTTCACATAAGGTGGCCAAAGTATTGGAGCTTCAGCTTCAGCATCAGTCCTTCCAATGAATATTCAGGGTTGAATTCCTTTAGGACTGACTGGTTTGATCTCCTTGTAGTCCAAGGGACTCTTTTAAAGAGTCTTGGCCAGCACCACAGTTCGAAAGCATCAATTCTTCGGCGCTTAGCCTTCTTTATGGTCCAACTCTCACATCCGTACACGATCATAGGAAAAACCACAGCTTTGACTATATGGATGTTGGCCAGCAAAGGGATGTCACTGCTTTTTAATATGCAGTCTAGGTTTGTCATCGCTTTCCTTCCAAGGAGCAAGCGTCTTTTAATTTCACGGCTGGAAGGCTGCATACTTCACTTATATTCTCTCACCAGCTGACAAAAACTGAGTTTTGCTGTCATGTGTCTTTTAGTAACTGACTGCAAAAAAGTTCTTTGAAACGTCACAAAGAATCTTAGAAATGAGAAATTTGTTCACACTCCACTCAGCGATTTCCATGATGAAGACCTATGTAAGAACTGTTTTTATGAAACTATCATTAGAACAGTTAGGTTTTATAACTTATCTCCTTCCTGTAAATAAAAGGTAAACAGATAATCACTTCATCATTTTTGTTTGGGCTCTAAAAAAGGATCAGTGATAGGGCTGTCCTGGTGATCTAGTGGGTAAGATTTCATGCCCCTACTGCAGGGGGCACCGGTTTGATTCCTGGTCAGGGAACTAAAGTTCTGCATGCTGTGTAACATGCCTCCCCCCCCACCCCCAGATACATTTAATACAGCCATAAGCATGCAGTGTAATGACGTGTAACGATGTGCAAATCCATGTACAGCTTTCCCCATTACAACTTTTTTGTTTATATTTCCCCTGGTTCAGATTTTTTTTTTTAAACTATGGTATTATTATGGGCCTTCCTGGTGGCTCTGATGGTAAAGAATCTGACTGCAACACAGGAGAACTGGGTTCGATATCTGAGTCATGAAGATCTATGGCTATGGTTTTATTATACACGTACTTGCTTGCAAGTGCCTCAAGGGTGAGATTTATCAATAATTCACAGGAGGAAACTACGGGGAGCAGCAGAGGCACTGCGGCCTGGTAATGCCCAGGCTTCAGGGTGCTTGAAACCGGCAGACAGACAGACGCTGATTCAAGGCGGAGCAGAGCAGAGGCCTGACTGAGGCAGTACCTTGGAAAACCTGCTCTGACTGAGGAAAAGAGAGTGAACTGCAGAGAAGCAAGTGGACACTGGAGGCTGCAGGCCAGCTGAAAATGGCTCCAAGAGCCCACATAACACGTGCCCCACCGCCTCAGGGCTGGCTTGGGTGCACGGGGCACATCTGAAAATATACTTCTCCAAGTTGACTTAACGCCACAAGGTAAGAGACTTCCCTGACACAGAGATGCTGGCCTCTTCAAAATAATAATAGCTGGAGCTATTTAAATTTCCCTGACTCTCAGCCCCTTCAACCTCCGCTTGGTCTTCTAAATTCACAGGTGAGGTGGGTGCTGCCTCTTGGAAAACAAATACTTTCTTTGTACACATAAACTTTACGTATGTATTTAAGCTTTACATTACATAAGGAAAAAGTTGTTAAAAACTGTCATAGAAGATTAAATACAAGTATTTTCAAAGCTCATGAAAACAAAGTATAAGGTAAATATTTTTATTTATTTTCTAAGCAATGGATCCCATTATCCACCTCCAAAGGTTTTGAGGCTTAAATTATAAAAAGTCAAACAGTATTGAATAAACTAGTCCAGCGCCTGCACATGCTAAGTATGTGGTAATGTTAGCTTACATACAGGTTGGCCATAAAATGTACCTTCTACCACTGCCCAAGACAAGATCTTGAATTCCTTTCAATTGTGTGTGATCTTTAAAGAAGATAAAGTATCAGTTCTATAGGTAACATAACCACTCCCCTGAACAATGTCATTAAATTATAGAAGGTTCTTATAATGAACCTTGTTAAAAGCATCAACTCAGTGTCTCTCCCATGTGGCTTCCTATGGATGATTCCAGCGCATTCTCTTTCCCTCTTCCCCATCACAGCCACGCATGCTGAGAGACGACTTGCTCTCAGCTCACAGACTCCCCATGCTAAGGGCCCAGGATCATCCTTGTTTCTTCCTTTCCCAGGTCTTGTCTGATACACCTCTGCTTGAGTATATTCAGTTTCCTTTCTGGGTTTTATGCAATTAGGTTACAACCAAAATAATTCTGACTCATATTTTCAATCACGGCTTTGCTAAGAAGTGTCACTGTACACAGCACGTTGGTGATCCTTTATATGTGATGATGATAGTTTGTTTCACTGTATTTTTCTAATCATCATCACTACTACTAAAGTACATGCCTAGAAGCTTATTATTTGTGCTTGAAAAATTCTGTATTTGAATATTAAGATATCACCACACTCCTAAACTTTACATTCTACTGCAGTTTATGAACCAATGAGAAAGATAACCATTCTTCTATCTTATCGACAAAAGATTTAGGAACTCCAGGCTTAAGAATGGTATAGGAGAGGCCCCGCCGTCACCCCGCGGTGCGCTACCCGCCCCCTCTGCGCTCGGCTCTGCCCGCTGGCGATCAGTGTTGGTGCGCACCCCGTGGCCTGCAAGCTCCAGCCCGGCCCGGCCCACGCACGGCTCAGGCTTCTGTGGAGACACGCCGTGCCCCCCTGAGCGACGGCAGCAGAGCGCGAGAGGCTGCGAGGCAGCCAGGGAATGAAATGTCATCAGTGGAATTATTAAAAAAAAAAAAGAATGGTATAGCAAGAGACACTGTTCCATTTTATTTATAATAGTAGGAAACTGGAAACAACTTTTCTGTCCAACAACAGGAAATGGGTTTTAAAACATCATCAAACCATAATTTAAAACAAAACTATGAGCAACCATTAACAACATGTTGTGAATGTGTTTAATGACATGAAAAGAGCTAACTGTGTATTCACCGTCTACTATCCGGAAGTCTTCTGTGAAAGACCTGATGGTCTTCTCTCTTCACACGCCTATACCTCTTCATCTGTCCTTACTCAATCTAACCTTGCTTCCTATTTCATTGAGAACATGCAATCACTCAGAAGAGACCCCTGCAAGCTACTACCGTAACATCTGCCCACCAGCTGGCATCTCTGTCATATACACTCCTGTTTCAATGGCTGGACCCACCTTAGTGGAGACCAATCCACTTATTAGACACCTTTCTATCCCTCTGCACGGTCCACAGAAGAGTTGCACTTCCACGTAATGACACAAGGGGGCGCTCTACATCAGGAATCTTGTAAACCACTCCAAATCAAGTCTTCAACAGTCTTCAACAGGCATAGACAGACACAAGCACTCTTCATCCATACAAAGAAGCTACAGAAGAAACCACAAAAAAACACATTAGCTGGGGATTTCCCTGGTGGTCCAGTGGTTAAGACCCTGTGCTTCCAATGCAGGGGGCACAGGTCTGATCCCTGGTTGGGGAACTAAGATCCCAATGTCATGCAGTGTGGCCAAAAAGACCAAGACAAAAAAAAAAACAACACAACACATCAGCTGGTAAAAATGATCAACCTAGCCACACACGCCACCTCTAAAGCTATTAAAAAAAAACTGAACTAAACTAACAAAGTAAAAGAGTCCAAAATCATCAAGATGCTCCTAAAGAACAACATTAGAAAAATTATCAAACCATGTGGTGTGGTGCTCAGTCATGTTGGACTCACTGCCATGCCATGGACTGTAGCCCACCAGACTTCTCTGTAAATGGAATTTTCCAGGCAAGAATACTGGAGCAGGTTGCCATTTCCTACTCCAGGGAATCCTCCCAACCAGCGATCAAGCCCACATCTCTCCTCTTCTGCACTGAGAACAGATTCTCTATCAAACTATATCAAAATCCAGTAAAGCTCCAGTAATTAAAGCAGTAGAGTACAGAGAAACAGACAAAAGGAGCAGACAGAGGGTCCAGAAACAGACCTCCATTTGAAGAAACTCAATATACAACACAGAGGCTATTACAATCAGTGGGGAAAAGCAGTCTTTTCTGTTGAATGGTTCTGGGAGACTGGTTTTCCGTATGGGGAAAAAAGAAAATCAAGTCTTTATCACACCCTGTTTAAAAAAAAATTAATTAGCCTTAATTCTTCTGTTTTCCCTATACCCATAGCCACTCTTTTTCGTGAAATCAGTCCAATATACAAATACAGGCAAAAGAGATTAACAGCATTTCACCAAAGCTGAAGCTCAAAAGCTAGTAAGCATAAGAAAAGATGTACAACTTTATGAAAATAAAGCTACATGACACCGTTTCTACATCCAGTAAATTGGTCAAAAATTTAAAATCCTGACAGTTAAAGCATTGCTGAAGGTCAGTTCAGTTCAGTCGCTCAGTCGTGTTCGACTCTGTGACCCCATGAACCACAGCACACCAGGCCTCCCTGTCCATCACCAACTCCCAGAGTTCACCCAAACTCATGTCCACAGAGTCGGTGATGCCATCTAATCATCTCATCCTCTGTTGTCCCCTTCTCCTCCTGCCCTCAATCTTTCCCAGCATCAGGGTCTTTTCAAATGACTCAGCTCTTCCCATCAGGTGGCCAAAGTACTGGAGTTTCAGCTTCAGCATCAGTCCCTCCATAGGACACCCAGGACTGATCTCCTTCAGGATGGACTGGTTGGATCTCCTTGCAGTCCAAGGGACTCTCAAGAGTCTTCTCCAACACCACAGTTCAAAAGCATCAATTCTTCGGCGCTCAGCCTTCTTCACAGTCCAACTCTCACATCCATACATTGCCACTGGAAAAACAATAGCCTTGACCAGACGGACCTTTGTTGGCAAAGTAACGTCTCTGCTTTTTAATATGCTGTCTAGGTTGCTCGTAACTTTCCTTCCAAGGAGTAAGCGTCTTTTCATTTCACAGCTGCAATCACCATATGCGGTGATTTTGGAGCCCCAAAAGACAAAGTCTGTCACCGTTTCCACTGTTTCCCCATCTATTTCCCATGAAGTGAAGGGACCAGATGCCATGATCTTCGTTTTCTGAATGCTGCGCATTAAGCCAACTTTTTCACTCTCCTCTTTCACTTTTATCAAGAGGCTCTTTAGTTCTTCACTTTCTGCCATAAGGGTGGTGTCATCTGCATATCTGAGGTTACTGATATTTCTCCCGGCAATCTTGATTCCAGTTTGTGCTTCATCCAGCCCAGTGTTTCTCATGATGTACTCTGCATATAAGTTAAATAAGCAGGGTGACAATATACAGCCTTAATGTACTCCTTTTCCTATCTGGACCCATTCTGTTGTTCCAAGTCCAGTTCTAACTGTTGCTCCCTGACCTGCATACAGGTTTCTCAAGAGGTAGGTCAGGTGGTCTGGTATCCCCATCTCTTTCAGAATTTTCCATAGTTTATCGTGATCCACACAGTCAAAGGCTTTGGCATAGTCAATAAAGCAGAAATAGATGTTTTTCTGGCACACTCTTGCTTTTTTGATGATCCATACATAGCATGTTGGCAATCTGATCTCTGGTTCTTCTGCCTTTTCTAAAACCAGCTTGAACATCTGGAAGTTCACGGTTCACATATTGCTGCAGCCTGGCTTGGAGAATTTTGAGCATTACTTTACTAGCGTGTGAGATGAGTGCAATTGTGCGGTAGTTTGAATATTCTTTAGCATTGCCTTTCTTAGGGACTGGAATGAAAACTGACCTTTTTCAGTTCCTGTGGCCACTGCTGAGTTTTCCAAATTTGCTGGCATATTGAGTGCAGCACTTTCACAGCATCGTCTTTCAGGATTTGAAATAGCTCAACTGGAATTCCATCACCTCCACTAGCTTTGTTCGTAGTGATGCTTCCTAAGGCTCACCTGACTTCACATTCCAGGATGTCTGGCTCTAGGTGAGTGATCACACCATCTTGATTATCTGGGTTGTGAAGATCTTTTCTGTACAGTTCTTCTGTGTATTCTTGCCATCTCCTCTTAATATCTTCTGCTTCTGTCAGGTTCATACCATTTCTGAAGGTGGAGCAATGGAATTTCTTTTACGCAGTTGGTGGGAATAAAAACTGTAAGAACTACTTTAGAAAAGACTGGCATTAACCTAAGTTTTTTTTTTAATTGGAGAAAAATTGCTTTACAATGTTGTATTGGTTTCTGCTGTACCACAATGTGAATCAGCCATAAGTATACACAATTATCTTAAGTTTTAAGATGATACAACAATTCTACTTCCTGATTCATACTCAGGACAACTCACAGACATTTCCATCAGAAGACAGGTAAAACAGTTATTTAGAGTTTGTATTTTAAAAACTGAAAATAACCTCAATGTCCATCAACAGTAGAATGTCTAAACAAACTGTAATATACTCACAGAAAAAAATGCTATACAAGAGTACAAATGAATGACAGTTGCATGCATGTACATGAATGAATCTTAGAAGCATAATGAGTAAAAATAGCAAGTCACCAGTAAATATCGAATATGATAATGTTTAAAATAATATCCAAACCCAAGCATAATATTGTTAACCTTACACGTTTTGTAAATCTACAAAGAATAAAACAAGAGAACAAAAATACAAAAAGATAGTGACAAATCCAGAGTGGGAAGTAGATCCACAGATACCCACATATATATCTATTTAGATATATCAAATATTTTATAGTTTTTTTAAGTGGGATAGGAGCGAGAAAAAGACTTCTATTTGAGAAAATATATGTTCCCCTGCCAATTCCTAGAGACATTTCAGAGGGGGAAAAAAGTGCTAAATTTTAATTTTACCTTTTTCATCTATTTTACTTTCATGATGACTTCCTTTCAGGATCCAAAATCTAACATAGAGGGAAAAAAATTCACACAATCATTTTCACATACTATCTAATTCAGGTACATCATCATACTCTTGTAATTTTCTTTTTTTCTTTTTGTAATTTTCTAAAGATTCCTACATCATTAATCCTAGTAATCACCTAATAATATTTACTAGAAGGGGAATTGGAAAATTACTTCTACGTACATCATTTTTTTCTATATATGCTTCATGGTAATAAACCACCAAATATTTGGTATAATTTGTAATTCTAGGATAACTCTTTCTAGTTCAAAGCTAAAAACATCCAGAAATAAGGACCTTTGACTTTTCAATATTTGCATATGCTCAAGGGAGTTTTTGCCGCAAGATTAAACAGTTTGGTTTCAAAAGAATCTTTTCACTCACATTTCAATTTAATTTTGAAGAGATTTGCTCCAACTCACACATGGAAATGCAAGGACATAAACGACTATGATTTTTCATCTATCTTTTCTTACAATCTGAAAGAGCTTTTGAATAAAACTTTGAAATAATCACTTGAGTATGCTTTGATGTAACTCTAAAATATTTATCAACCAATGATTCTTAACTTTCCTTCAAAGAGTATATCAGGAGTACTATTTCTCCTATTTGCTTTGTTTTCCATTGGTTGACTTAGCTACTAAGGTCGCTAAATACACTGAAGTTTTTAAGAACATTCCAATTTATACCAGCAACAAGTATAAATTTTCCTTTAAGCTATAAGGAAAAACATACAAATGAATAATAATTTGCTATACTGAAGTAAGTTGTTAAATTATCAGTCCTAATATAACCCATATGCTAACCCATGAAGCACTCTGCTTAAATAAGTGTCTTTTTAAATTCCCACCCTTAGGTTCAAACGTATTCCTTAAAAAAGAAAAACAAAAATTAAAATTGTACTTACTTTAGCCAACAGCTCTTGTGTCTCATCAGTCAATGGAGCATGTGAAAACTTGCAATATTCTCCCTGATAACATTTTGCTCCTGTATGGTAAAACTTGCAAGGATATTCATGTAACTCAAATGTTAAGGAAGAAAAAAATTTTAATGCTGCTAAAACAACTTATTATTAATCTAATAACTTTATTTTTCCTACATGAAGTTCTTTTCCACTAGTAGAAACATTAAATTCTCTATGTAAAATATGAGACGACAGGACTTCCCTGGTGGTCCAGTGGCTGAGACTCAGCACTCCCGATGCAGAGGTCCCGGGTTTGATCCCTGGTCAGGGAACTAGAGCCCACATGCTAAAGATCACATGTGCTGCAACTAAGATTGAGGACAGCCAAATAAATTAATGAATTAGAGATAAAAAGATTCATTCTTAATAAAATAAAGTATGAGAAAATTAATGACTAACTGGGTTATAAGAAAATGAACTTTAGGATGATTATATACATGAAGTTTATTGGCTATCACAGGACAAATTTCTCCCTCATAATCATTCTTAAACTACAAGTATGTTTCACTGAAAAGACCAAAGAGGTGCATTTTAAGTACTTTGAGAAATTTGACTATTTTTAAAGCATTCTTTTGGGGTAAGGGAATTAAAGTCAGTAACAATGATGTGTCTTGCAAATCTGGATCCTTCATATATTAGGCTTGTTTAAAATGGGATAAATATATACAACTCTGATATTATTTTCCAAGAAAAATTTCTCAAGTTAGGGTTTGAGATTCCTTATATTGAATGTCTTAAAGGAAAACAACTTTTGTGGTAACCAAACATGCAGTTATCCTAAAATGCTATGTTCCATGTTTTCACAGTATGTCTGGACCAATTTATATTTATACTCAAGAGTTACTAAGGGTTACTCTTCAAGTAAGGGACAATTAATCTCTATACAGCACAGAGTATAACAGAAAAGAAGTACTCCCAAACTATGTGATTCCTGCCTCTTTTATGAAGTAGATTTCATATATATAGATTCAATTCATGGATGTCACAGCAGAAATTTTGAGATTCTGGGACCTAGAAAGAAAGGTCTCATGACCCTGTTACACTACCGAGTTAGAGAGGATGTACATTTGAGAGAACTTCTAAAGACTCTTTCTTGGGGCAGAGGGGTGGGGGAGGGAATCCGTGAACAATTTAATCACTTCAATACCAAGTTGAGCTTAGATAATATAATTTTGCCATGGTTAAAACATTGGTTTCATTCAAAATTTTACATTCATGTAAACATTTATGAAAAGTAAAGTTACTGTATCTTGTGATAAAGGATATTATGCAAATATAGGCAGTTTTCCCCTCTGGTACAATATCCTTGTACGTAAAACTTACACATTTCCTTTTTCTTCTCTATCTCTGCATCATGATCAAATTTACATTGATCTCCCTGGGCCAAAGGAAGAAACAAGGAAAAGCCATTACTCACAGTTAAGCCATTATAATTCCTACTTAATTCTGAATAAGCAAATGATTCCAGAAGAAAACAAACCCTTAGTTGGAAGCAGTACAGTCTGATTTTTAAAGAGCTATTGTAACCGCATTGTATTACATATATTGGCTTGCCATTTGTCAAGTCCTTAGCTTTTTTAACACAAAGCATTTAAAAAAATTATCTATTTTCAGAGACATAAAACAAGGGACAAAAATTTCATGGCCTAAAGGTATTAAAATGAGAGTCTGTTCTCTTATCACTGTGGAATTACATTACTACTTTCTTAAATACAAAAGAATATTTCAATAAAATTTTCTACTTGAAACCTTTCCAGAAAGAAAACAGTTCTAAAATTATACAAGTATGCTTTTGGAGTGTCTAATAGAAACAGGAGCTAGTTTTAGAACGTTTTTGCTATACCTTACATCTTAATGTACTTTTGCTTACACTATACCTTAATACACTTCCTTTCAAGAAAATATTTACAAATTTGCTTTCCCTGGCGTTGCACCGTATGTTGGTTGATGAACCCCTGACTCATTCTCACAGGCTGCTGCTGCTCTTTAGGTTTCCCATTCTATGAAAACAAAAACAAAAAACTAAATGTGAGAAATAAGAGATTAAACATTTTATTCCATTGTACAAAATTATCTTAACCCACCTTTTAAAACACTGAAAAGTAACTCTTCTGAATTGCCCTTCAGGTAAGACTTGGATTTTTGTACATCATTTGAAACAAATGGATGATTGTCAGTTTCAGTATCATTCCATCACTGAACATTAGTGTTTGTGCAATCTGAATTCTTATTGTATCTTGACTGCATGCTAACTGTGTCCGGCTCTTTGCAACCCCATGGACTGCAGCCTGCCAGGCTCCTCTGTCCATGGGACTCTCCAGGCAAGAGTACTGGCGTGGGCTGCCATTTCTTCCTCCAGGGGGTCTTCCCCACCCAGGGACTGAACCTGAGTTTCCTGCAGCTCCTGAATTGAATAGGTAATTCTTTACCTACCAATTCTTTCTTACTGCACCACCTGAGATTATATTGTACATGCCCTCACTTAAAAAATTTTTAAAAGAAGTTCCACTCATTGTGATCAACAGTGAAGTCTAAGAATAAGGCTCTTTAGAACACTGGGGACAAACCTCAAAATCAAAAGGTAAACTGAAAGTAGTGTAATCTTTCATTTCAATGACAGGCTCACTAGGTGTGAGCCGAGTATACTGATGAGCTCAAATTAATAAACATAATTAGAAACAGACCCTCAAAGATGATGATAAAAGTATGAAAACAAAAGGGGACTTTCATATAAAAACGAAAGGGGAATTTTATTATCGTCTTTAGAAACATAAATCACTTTCAGCATGTTAACTTGTGGTACAACTCACAGCATCTACGTATGGTATTCCTACGTAAGGCCTTAGAGCTGCTCTGTAATGTCAAAACTCCCCTCAGCACTATCAAAACTATGTGCCTAACAAGTATGCCAGCTTTAACTCTCGGTTTTATTTGACCATGTGATTAAATTCTAACAAACAGGTTTACAATGTGCTCCTCAGGTAGCAGAGCTGTCAGTTATGGTGGAATAATGGCTTGAGTCAATCCAAACCAAAGGAAAGGGAACGCTGCCCGAGCCCAGCCCTGCCTGGCCCTGGGTGGCCATAGACAGTCACCTAAACCCTATGGCTTCACATTCGTCTTTTGTCAAACAAATTTTATATAAATACATTTCAGTCTCTAATATTTGGTGCTTCTAATATTTTACCGAGCTCTAACTCTTGTGTCCTGAACCAAGCTTAACAAATGGCTGCCGTCCAGCTTAGAAGCCCTCAGAAAAGTAGAGTCCAAAGGAGTCACTTACTGCTCTACTGTGATTACATCTGCAGAACAAGGAAGAACTTCTAGAAAGCAAAATAAAAATACCAGAGGGGGTGGGGGGTCTGGTATCTGGTAGGGGGTGTCTCAAAAACATTCATTTTTAATTTCCAGAGGGAGTCAAAAACCAACAGACCAACGGCCTTTGGAATGCCCTCACAGCCATCTAGGGACTTTCCTGGCAGCCCAGTGGTTTGGGCTTCCCAGGTGGCGCAGTGGTAAAGAATCCACCTGCCAGTGTAGGAAACACAAGAGATGTGGGTTCAATCCCTGGGTTGGGAAGATTCCCTGGAGGAGGAAATGGCACCTAGTTCAGTATTTTTGCCTGGGAAATCCCATGGACAGAGGAGCCTGGTGGGCTGCAGTCCACAGGGCTGCAAAGAGCTGGACACGACTGAGCACACATGCACACGTGGCTATCTTCTCTTTTCCCTGCTTCCCACATCTGTTCTTCCAGTCACAGACAGCACAGCGCTCAGAAATCAGGGGGCTTGTGTATATGTATTCAGGTACGACACTAAGGCTTGAGTGTGAGGAAGGGAGCCTGACAGTGAGAAGGAAGCACGTGGGGAGCCCACTGCGGGTGAGGTGACCCACCGAGGTGTGAGGTGCAGTGCCTTCCGACACGCGTGGATTCTCATACCTGGCCCTGTGAGCCGCTGCTCCTCAGGGAAGCATCTCCTCTGTCTCCAGGGCCAGGCAACTCTCGCTTCATTTTCTTCTTTTTACCATTCTTGTGAACAGCTTTAAGGTTTTTATTTTTTTGCTTAACAGCTAAAAACAACAACAAAAATTTAACTTAAAGACAATATAAAACGACACTAGCAATTTACTCTTAAGAGCGATATTCTATAGTAATGCAGGAGAAGTTCTCCACTATTCAAAAAGTGAAAACTGGGATGATGTGGACCTGTCTTTCCAGCAGCTCTGGGACTAATATACTCTAGATCTCAAATTCATTCCTTGTGAAAATATATAAGGCATTGCCAGGAAAAAAGCAAGATAATTAACGAAATCATTCTTTCGAGCCATCAGCTCAGATTCTTTTTAAGTGTTCAAAGTACGATGGATCTCATTAGGAATTGCTATAGTGCTACAATAGTAAAAGCTTCAAAGGACCTCATATATGGCTACCAGATTGTTCACTGAAAACATTTTACATAGATTAAGTTGATCTATAGATCCATTTTAAATAGAAAAACATTTGAACAGGGAAAAAAAGGAGAGGATTAAGAATTTTACTTACAATTGTCCCTTACTGTCATACCTATGGCTTAATTTTAGTAATCTAAAAGAATATATTCCTGGGGGACGTCCCTGGTGGTCCAGTGGTTAAGAGTCTGCCTTGCAATGTGGGGGACATGGGTCTGACCCTCGGTCATGGGACTAAGGTCCCACATGCCGCAAAGCAACTAACACTTGATGCAGCCAAACATAAATAAATAGTTATAAAAGGAATACATCCCTGAGCTTAGTCTCACACACTGCTATCCCAGTCTATTCTTCTCCAAAGGAAAGTGACCCGAGAGGGTAGCTCCTGTCCTCCACATGGGCCGAGGCCAGGGCTCTATGCCCCCTTGCAAAGCTGTCATGTCCTCTGCTTGTTTTTTCCTTTGAAAATTATTTATCTATTTGTATGGCCTTACTAGGTCTTTGTTGTGCACAGGGGACTTTTAGGTGCCACATACAGGATCTAGTTCCCTGACCAGGGATCGAACCTGGGCACCCTGTACTGGGAGTTCAGAGTCCTAGCTACTGGACCACCAGGGCAGTCCCAAAGTGGTCATCCTTTGAAAACTCTGCTGCACTGTCCACTCCTCTTGCAAACTGAGCATTTGCACACCAAGTGACCAGCTCACATTTGGTGTCAAGATCCAAGAAAATCTGATCTTATCATGAGATAAAATGCAGACCCCCACCCCCAACTCCATCCGTGGACAACGGTGACTACGCCTCCGGGTAACTTTAAATGATCAAACAGTTTGACCCTTACCTTTCTGGGTCCTCTTTGCTGTCTCTTTCTTTACAGATGCTCCAGGACACAGTAAGGACTGAGTGACACTTGCCATCTCTTTAGCTTGTATGTACTGCTGAAGCTCCTTAGCGAAATTATCTTCTGGCTCCTGACTGCATATGTCATCATCACTATATGCATCATAGTCCTTACTTCTTGATTTCCTATGTTGCAAATTCTTTGTAGATGTAGAGCTTCCAGAGTGCCTAAACTAAGTAAAAATTAAATTTTCAAATTTAAAAACCTAGCATGATTTGAAACAATCTGGCCATGAAGGAGAAATAAAGACTGTGAACTGATCATTGTTGAAGTTGATTGATGGGAACACAAGAGTTTCATATGCTATTCTTTCTGCTTGTATGCATATGAAATTTTCTGGAATTAAAAAAAACAAAAACACATGCATCCATACTTAAAAGATGTTTTGAGGGAAGACTCAATCTGTTCACTGTGTGTACTTTACTAGATTGAAAGACTAAAGCCCCACAACTGAATTATTTGCTATTAAAGAACTACATTATTTAGTCCACATTTTATTTCTCCCTTTGCATCGACTATCTTTTCACATGGTTTAATTCAGTAACTCGTCATCGAGTGCAAGTAAACTAAAATGGCCCAACTGGAAATCCACTACGCCAGCTACCAAAGTCTACTTCCTCCCGTTAACCTGAACACTGGTGGCAGGGGATGCAGCAGCAATGATGACAAGAAACCGCCAAGCAGCAGACACCTTCCAGCACTCGGCGTAGAAACACTCCCAAGGACGGGGTACACGGGTGTCTATACTTGGAGACACCAGGGTTAATCAAGATTTATTATTACAACCGGTATGGATGATATGTTTCAATTAAACAGTTTATTTGTAAAAAGCCCAGTTGTCAAGTTCAGTTCAGTTGCTCAGTTGTGTCCGACTCTTTGCGACACCAAGGACTGCAGCACGCCAGGCTTTCCTGTCCATCACCAACTCCCGGAGCTTGCTCAAAACATGTCCATCGAGTCCGTGATGTCATCCAACAATCTCATCCTCTGTCGTCCCCTTCTCCTTCTGCCTTCAATCCTGCCCAGCATCACCATCTTTTTCAATGAGTCAGCTCTGCATCAGGTGGCCAAAGTATTGGACTTTCAGCTTCAGAATCAGTCCTTCCAATGAACACCCAGGATGGATCTCCTCTAGCATGGACTGGTTGGATCTTCTTGCAGTACAAGGGACTCTCAAGAGTCTTCTCCAACACCACAGTTTAAAAGAATCAATTCTTCGGCGTTCAGCTTTCTTTATGCTCTAACTCTCACGTCCATACATGACTACTGGGAAGACCATAGCTTTGACTAGATGGACCTTTGTTGGCAAAGTAATGACTCTGCTTATTAATATGCTGTCTAGGTTTGTCATGATTTTTCTTCCAAGGAGCAAGTGTCTTTTAATTCCATGGCTGCAGTCACCATCTGCAGTGATTTTAGAGCCCAAGAAAATAAAAGTCTCTGTTTCCATTGTTTCCCCATCTATTTGCCATGAAGTGATGGGACCAGATGCCACGATCTTTGTTTTCTGAATGCTGAGTATTGAGCCAACTTTTTCACTTTCACCAGGAGGCTCTTTAGTTCCTCTTCTCTTTCTGCCATAAGGGTGGTGTCATCTGCATATCTGAGGTTATTGGTATTTCTCCCAGCAAACTTGATTCCAGCTTGTGTTTCACCCAGCCCAGCATTTCGCACGATGTACTACTCCGCATATAAGTTAAATAAGCAGGGTGACAACATATAGCCTTGACGTACTCCTTTCCCAATTTGGAACCACTCCGTTGTTCCATGTCTGGTTCTGTTGCTTCTTGACCTGCACACAGATTTCTCAGGAGGCAGGTAAGGTGGTCTGGTATTCCCATCTCTTTTAAGAATTTTCCACAGTTTATTGTGATCCACATGGTCAAAGGCTGTGGCATAGTAAATAAAGCAGAAATAGATGTTTTTCGGGAATTCTCCTGCATTTTCTATGCTCCAATGGAATTTGATATCTGGTTCCTCTGCCTTTTTGCAATCCAGCTTGAACATCTGGAAGTTCATAGTTCACGTACTGTTGAAGCCTGGCTTGGAGAATTTTGAGCATTACTTTACGAGCGTGTGAGATGAGTGCAATTGTGCGGTAGTTTGAACATTCTTTGGCATTGCCCTTCTTTGGGATTGGAATGAAAAATGACCTTTTCCAGTCCTGTTGCCACTGCTGAGTTTTCCAAATTTGCTGGCATATTGAGTGCAGCACTTTCACAGCACATCATCTTTTAGGATTTGAAATATCTCAACTGGAATACCATCACCTCCACTAGCTTTGTTCATAGTGATATTCCCTAAGGCCCACTTGACTTCACACTCCAGGATGTCTGGCTCTAGGTGAGTGATCACACCATGTGGTTATCTGGGTCATGAAGACCTTTTCTGTATAGTTCTTCTGTGTACTCTTGCCACTTCTTCTTCATATCTTATGCTTCTGTTAGGTCCATACCGTTTCTGTCCTTTATTGTGCCCGTCTTTACATGAAATGTTCCCTTGGTATCTCTAATTTTCTTGAAGAGATCTCTAGTCTTTCCCATTCTACTGATTTCCTCTATTTCTTTGCACTGATCACTGAGGAAGGCTTTCTTATCTCTCCTTGCCATTCTTTGGAACTCTGCATTCAGATGGGTGTATCTTTCCTTTTCTCCTTTGCCTTTTACTTTTCTTCTTTTTTCAGCTATTTGTAAGGTCTCAGGCAACCATTTTGCCTTTTTTTTGCATTTCTTCTTCTTGGAGATGGTCTTGATCACAGCCTCCTGTACAATGTCACAAACCTCTATCCATAGTTCTTCAGGCACTCTATCAAATCTAATCCCTTGAATCTATTATCACGTCCACTGTCTAATTTTAAGGGATCTGATTTAGGTCATACCTGAATGGTCTAGTGGTTTTCCCTACTTTCTTCAATTTAAGTCTGATTTTGCAATAAAGGAGTTCATGATCTGAGCCTCCATCAGCTCCTGATCTTGTTTTTGTTGACTGTATAGAGCCTCTCTATCTTTGGCTACAAAGAATATAATCAATCTGATTTCAGTATTGACCATCTGGTGATGTCCGTGTGTAGAGTCGTCTCTTGTTTGTTGGAAGAGGATGTTTGCTATGACCAGTGCACTGTCTTGGCAAAACTCTGTTAGCCTTTGCCCTGCTTCATTTTATACTCCAAGGCCAAACTTGCCTGTTACTCCAGGTATCTCTTGACTTCCTACTTTTGCATTCCAGTCCCCTATGATGAAAGGACATCTTTTTTGGATGTTAGTTCTAGAAGGTCCTGTAGGTGTTCATAGAACCATTGAACTTCAGCTTCTTTGGCATTAGTGGTTGGGGCATAGACTTGGATTACTGTGATATTGAACGGTTTGCCTTGGAAACTAACAGATATCATTCTGTCATTTTTGAGATTGCAAGTTTATCACAATAAACTGGAAAATTCTGAAAGAGATGGGAATACCAGACCACCTGACCTGCCTCTTGAGAAATATGTATGCAGGTCAGGAAGCACCAGTTACAACTAGACATGGAACAACAGACTGGTTCCAAATAGGAAAAGGAGTTCATCAAGGCTGTATACCGTCACCCTGCTTATTTAACCTATATGCAGAGTACCTCATGAGAAATGCTGGGTTGGAGGAAGCACAACGTGGAATCAAGATTGCCGGGAGAAATATCAATAATCTCAGATATGCAGATGACACCACCCTTATGGCAGAAAGTGAAGAAGAACTAAAGAGCCTCTTGATGAAAGTGAAAGAGGAGAGTGAGAAAGTTGGCTTAAAACTCAACATTCATAAAACAAAAGACCATAGCATCCAGTCCCATCACTTCATGGCAAACAGATGGGGAAACAGTGGCTGACTTTATTTTATTGGCTCCAAAATCACTGCAGATAGTGACTGCAGCCATGAAATTAAAAGACACTTGCTCCTTGGAAGAAAAGTTATGACCAACATAGACAGCATATTAAAAAGCAGAGACATTACTCTGCCAACAAAGGTCCATCTAGTCAAGGCTATGGTTTTTCTAGTAGTCATGTATGGATGTGAGAGTTGGACTATAAAGAAAGCTGAGCACAGAAGAATTGATGCTTTTGAACTGTGGTGTGGAGAAGACTCTTGAGAGACTGCAAGGAGATCCAACCAGTCCATCAAGTTTGAGTAAGCTGCGGGAGTTGGTGATGGACGGGGCAGCCTGGCGTGCTGCAGCCCACAGGGTTCCACAAAGAGTCGGGCACAACTGAGCGACTGTACTGAATGCATTTTGGGCTCTTCTGTTGACTATGAGGGCTACTCCATTTCTTCTAAGGGATTCTTGCCCACAGTACTAGATATAATGGTCATCTGAATTAAACTCGCCAATTCCTAAAATGTCAATGTTCACTCTTGCCATCTCCTGTGTGACCACTTCCAATTTACCTTGATTTATGGACCTAATATTCCAGGTTCCTATGCAATATCTTCTTTAAAGCATCAGGTTTTACTTCCATCACCAGTCACATCCACAACTGCGTGTTGTTTTTACTTTGGCTCTGTCGCCTCCTTCTTCCTGGAGTTATTTCTCCACTCTTCTCCAGTAGCATACTGGGCACCTACTGACCTGGGGATTTCATTTTTCAATGCCTTTTTTGCCTTTTCATACTGTTCATGGGGTTCTCAAGGCAAGAATACTGAAGTGGTTTGCCATTCCCTTCTCCAGTGGACCACATTCTGTCAGACCTCTCCACCATGACCTTGGGTGGCCCTACACGGCATGGCTCATAGTTTCATTGAGTTAGACAAGGCTGTGATCCATGTGATCAGTTTGGTTAGTTTTCTGTGATTGTGGTTTTCATTTCTGTCTGCTCTCTGATGGATAAGGACAATAGGCTTGTGGAAGCTTCCTGATGGGAGAGACCGACTGGGGGGGAATCCGGGTCTTGTTCTGATGGGCAGGGCCATGCTCAGTACGTCTTTAATCCAAATATCTGTTGATGGGTGGGGCTGTGGGATAACTACATTTACCTTGGTTTCAGCCTCTCACATAATTTAGCAGGCTAAGAAAGTGCAGTCACTCAGTTGTGTCTGACCCTTTGCGACCCTGTGGGCTGTAGCCCAGCAGGCTCCTCCATCCATGGGATTCTCCAGGCAGGAATACTGGACCGGGTTACCATTTCCTTCCAGGGGATCTTCCCGACCCAGGGATTGAACCCAGGTCCCCCGCACTGCAGGCAGACGCTCTACCCTCTGAGCCACCAGGGAAGCAGGCGCAGGGAGAACCAAGGAGAGTCATTCAGTGTGAAACAGTGTGCATGAGGTTTAGCACAACCCTGGGGTTCCAGTCAGTGCATCTGAATCGAAGCATTACCAGGACCCAGGCGAGTGCTGTCACATGTCCCCACCTCACCCCACCCTCCAAGACCCATGGGCCTGCAGTTCCGAAGCAGCCCTTTTCTCTACAAGCAGTAGCAGAAGTGACTTACTTGTGTTAAGTGAAGAGATGAGATGGCTCGGTAACATTATAAAGCCAGGACAATCATCAGCTATGCCGCTTCATTATACATTAGGGAGAGGGAGAGTGCTCGCCACTCAGTCGCGTTCGACTCTCTGCCACCCCAGGGACTGTAGCCCAATGTGCTCCTCTGTCCATGGGATTCTCCAGGCAAGAATCCTGGAGTGGGCTGCCATGCCCTCCTCCAGGGGATCCTCCTGACACAGGGATTGAACCTGCGTCTCTTATATATCTCTGGCATTCGCAGGTGCGTTCTTTACCATCGGAGCCACCAGGGAAGCCCATACATTACAGAAGCATTTCTAATGGACATGATTGTTTTCAGAGGGCACTGAGATATACAACATATTAACACAACGATTGCTTAAATATGTCCTCATGCAGCTGCTGTAAACTCACTGCTCTGATGTCTGTTGTTCTCTATATAACTTAGAAACTGTAAGAACACAGTATTACAACTTATCCCCGTTTCATAAGAAAGTCTGAAGTATTTTCCTCCTCTTTTAAGTAAAAGATTTTCTTGTGCTTGATTCAGAATGGTTTATAGAACTAGTATGGCCTCCTGAAATTCCACAGAAATAAAAGTATAGAAATGTAAAAATTAATAGTCTCAAAAGAGTGTGTGCATAGGGAGCGGGAAAATGAAGTACAATTCGTCAGGAAGGAATTAAGAAGGGTTCAACAAATTCCTGGCAAATTTTTGACAAACATAAAGCAAGGTATAATTTGGAGGTTGGGCTTAGGTTGCCGTGTGAGAAATAGGGCTATAAACAAGAATGAACTAAAATGCTACATTAAAAAAAAAAAAAAGCTATTGTAACAAATTATCTCTAACCACCCCCTCTCAACCCAGAATACAGTCAAACAAAAACTTACCCCATGCAAAAGAGAGGGTTTTCTCTAAAGAAATTTATTAAAATGTCTGATAAATGCCAAGTCTTCTTATATGAGTACTAAGACCCCAGAATGAAATCCTCCACATTCCGACATGTGGGAATAACTTCCATCAGAAAAACACTTCACCTCTATCCTCTATCAGGGGTTCGTAACTTGCTGCCCAGAGATGCACGCCCCCCTCCCGCCTGCCCCTGGCCAAGCGTCTATGGACAGAATGAGAGAACTCAATGGACTTGGATGGGAATAAAAATCACATATTGTTTCATCAACCTTTAAACTGACATTTAGCGTTTTCTTCTGTTCTGAACACTGGCCGCAAAGCACAGTAGTATCAGCAGTAGCTGCGACTGTCACTAACGGAAACCACAGGGACTTTGACACATTCTACTTTCTGCAGGTCTCAGAGCATGTGATGTTTTATGTTCATCACTCTGTCAACATAGCATTTAGACCTACAACACAATGATGAGACCTACTGCTGGATCTACTTACTTAGTGCATGAACAAAGAATCTATTACTCTTACCTCATTTCTTAATATTTTGATAACTGTGTTTCAACAGAATAAACTTCCATTATAACCCAACATATTTTATTTCATTCACTTAAAAATATTATTCTGAGAAGGGGCCCAAGAGCTTTGCCAGACTGCCAAAGGGGATACATGGCAGATAAAGGGTTAAGAATTACTATGCTGCTGGAAACCTACAGATGCGCAGAGCCCACGCAGGCATCAAGCGCCCAATCAGGCTTCCCATTGAGAAGAAATGCCTATGGAGACTCACCAACAGACCAGCAAAGGACTTTCATCGACTTTCCAGACCTTTCTTAATTCAAAGGACACAAAGAAAAACAAAAGCAGGGCTTCCCTGGTGGCTCAGTGGTGAAGACAGTGCAGGAGACACAGGCTGAATCCCTGATCCATGAAGATCCTACGCGCTACAGAGCAACTAGGCCCGTAGCCACAACTGTTGACCCTGTGCTCCAGAGCCCACGCTCTGAACAGAGGCCACTGCAATGAGAAGTCTGAGAGCAAAGCAAATGAGATCTAGAGCAGAAAACAAAAAAGCAGGAAAAAGAAAACCTGGCCCAGAAGAAGAAATACAATTCAGGAAAAGAAAAGGACACAAAATTTTTAAACAAATACACAAAGATATCAAGATGGTATTTTTTCTTGACAAAGAATAAAAATAAAACACATTCCCTGTGTATGAAGGGTATGAATAGTCTCACCAAATACTTAAGCACAATGAATGAGAAGATTTATAGTCTCTAACAATACTGAGAATAAAGAGAAGAATCTAAAAGCTCCCAGGACAGGATGCTTACAAAATGACTAGAACCAGACTGGCAAGACGTCACACTGGCGACAAGGACAGCAGAAGAAAATGGGGCAAATAACCTCAAGCTTAATTCTATTTCAGCCAAAATACCTATCAGCTATGTGGATAAAGTCAGTATTTTCAGAAACGTTCACAAGAACTCAAAAGCTTTATCCCAGGCATTCCCTATATAACAGAGCATGCCAGCTAAATGAAAATAAGTTAGAAATTGTGCTTAAAAAAAAAAAAGACGTAATTCACAAAAGCCTCATCAGACACCCAGCATTAAATCTAACAAAAGGTATATAAGATATCTACAAAGAAATTTATAAAACACTGCTAAGACAATTAAAAAGGACCTAAAGACTGGACAATCCAATACTCTAAAGATATCAATTCTCTCCCAAATGATCTACAGTCTCAATGCATTCCCAAGTGAAAGACCCACCAGGGTTTTCTGTGGAACTTGACAAACTATTTCTAAACGTTATATGGAAATACGAAGGGCTGAGAACAGCCGAGACAGCTGAAGAAGAAAACAGCATGCGACGACGTGCTTGCCTGACACCCAAACCATCATTGAGCTACACTGATCAATGCAAGGAGGCCTCGAGGGGAGGGGCAGACACATACACCAGCGGATGAGAACAGAGACTCTAGAAATGGATCCATCAGAACACAAACACGTTTTTTTCCCAAACACTTGATTTTTGGCAACAGTGACACTGAAGATTCATGGGGGGAAAAGAACCGCCTTTTCCCCCAATGAATGGTGTTGGAACAACTGGGTAGGATAATGGAAAAAAAAGTAATCCACAATCTGTCCCCTCTACCTCATAGTAAACCAAAAAAAATTTTTTTAAACACAAAAATTAATTATGATTATAAACTTAAATGGAAAAGGAAAAACAACAAAACTTTTAGATGACACTGTATGGGAATATTTTTATTATCTCAGGATACGTAAAAAAAACACATAAAGCATTAACTATGAAGAAAAGATGAATAAACTTGAATACATTAAAACCATTAACCTGTTATCAAAAATTGCTATTAACTTGGGAAAAAAGCTACAATATGAGCTGATACTTGCAACACATAATCCACACAGGGGAAAAAAATCCCCTATATCCAGAATAAAGGAAAAAGAAAAAAAGGCAAAAAGACTTAAATTGGCACAAAAAAAGGGAAACTGAAACTGGACAAATATGAAAAGATGCTCCATCTTTTTTTTTTTTTAAGATGCTCCATCTTAACAGTAATCAATAAAATGCAAACTAAATGACAAGGAAGGTATCTCACCAGAGGGCAAAATTTAAGAAAGTGTGGAGATATCTGTGTAGAAATACAGACTCTCATATATCGCCTTTGGCAATAAAAATCAGTAGAACGACTTTGGAATACAGCTTGGCATCATGGCAAAGGGAAAGATGCTCATCCTCTAAGACCCAGCGGTGCTACTCCAAGGTAACTGCAGAGGAGAAGCACAGCAGGAGGCGACTGAGATGTAGCAGCGCCGGCCACAACCGCCAAAGCTGGGAGTGAGGCCAGACGCCAGCACCCCGTACACTCCAATGACGGAATGCTCCGCAGTTAAGAAAATGAACAAGTAAGTACACACCACTTGTGTGCACTATGCATATTCTGTAAGTATACATTATGCATACTGTGAGCCTTAAAAATATAACGTGAAGAGAAAGGAGACAAAAGGACACACACAACACTATTCTATCAAGTGAAGAAACAGCCACAAGAAAAACGGCACTCGTAAGGAGGACAGCATTAGCAGGAAAACTGCAAAGAACAAGCAAGTGATTAGCACACAAGTTGGGATAGGACTCATCTCTGGAAGGAAAAAAAGGAACACGACTGAGAAAAGGAGGCATGAGAAGCGCTGTGGGTAGAGCTTTCTTGGACTCGGCGTTTACTTGAGTTCACTTTTTAATTAACTGTGATACACTTATGTTTTATACACTTGTAAGGAAAGAGCCTGGCCTGAAGTAAGCCTAGTTACAACTAATCTAGGTGTCTACATTCTCACAGTATTGTTTCTGAGAAACTCCTTAAGATAAATACAGAAGGTTGTATCTGCCTGTATGCTGTATGGGGTTATATATGTACTGGGGACCTTTAAGTGGGCTTATGTGGTTAATGTTAACATTTTTTAAGTAACATGATTTACTTATTTTGGCTGTGCTGGGTCTTCACTGCTGTGCGCAGGCTCCCTCCAGCTGCGGCGCGTGGGTGCAGCAGTGGCGGTGCACAAAGCGGCGTTTTGTTTCTTTTGCTGTGCTGTGTCTTTGGTGCTGCACAGGCCTTTCTCCGGTTTCAGGCTTCTCAGTGCAGTGGCTTCTGTCGCGGAGCAGGCGCTGCAGCGGTCGTGGCCCGTGGGCTCGGGAGCGGCAGCCCCCCGGCTCTACAGCTCAGGCTCGGCGGCTGCGGAGCACAGCCCCAGTCGCTCTGCAGCATGTGCAATCTTCCTTGAGGAGGGATCGAACCTGTGTCCTCTGCCTTAGTGGGCGGATTCTTATCCATTGCACCACCAAGGAAGTCCAAAAAAAAATTTTTTTTAAGTATTAAAAAGGTCTGGCTCCGATGTATAGAACAGACTTGTGGACTCTGGGAGAAGGCGAGGGTGGGATGTTTCAAGAGAACAGCATCGAAACACGTATATTATCTAGGGTGAAACAGATCACCAGCCCAGGTTGGGTGCATGAGACAAGTGCTCGGGCCTGGTGCACTGGGAAGACCCAGAGGGATCGGGTGGAGAGGGAGGTGGGAGCGGGGACCGGGATGGGGAATACATGTAAATCCATGGCTAATTCATTTCAATGTATGACAAAAACCACTGCAATGATGTAAAGTAATTAGCCTCCAACTAATAAAAATAAATGAAAAAAAAAAAAAAAAAAAGGTCTGGGAGATTTAAGCTATCATTTCTCAGTTTCAATTAGGGCTCTGGTCTACAGCAGCCATATATGCCCCAAAGGGCAAAAGAAGTTATGTACTTGGGTAGCTGAGAGGCTTTCTGAGATGAAGATGCTGAACTTTCTGCCCTGTATCCTTTTATAAAGCTGAGTATAACAGTATCATATTAAAGGCCATGTGTGTCTTGCAGATCTCACCTATAATTTGAACTCATTCTTTTGTAGTGTGTTAAAGTTCACAATCACAAAAGTTCCAAAAGAGAAAAAGCAAGAGAGAAGCAGATATTGGCTTTGCTGTGGGTTGGCTGTGTCCTCCCCAAATTGAAGTCCTAATCGCCCAGTACCTTAGAACATGACCACATTTGGAAATAGGGTCATTATATGTATAATTAAAGATGAGGTCATTAGGATAGCCTTTAATCCAATATGTCTTGTGTCTTTATAAAAGAGGGGAATTTAGACATAGACCCATTCACACAGGGAGAAAGCCTTTCGGAGCATGAAGGTAAAAATCAAGATGATGCTTCTGGAAGCCAAGCCAAGGGGGACCAAAGACTACCAGCAAGCCAACCAGAAGCTAGGGGAGAGGCACAGAACTGACTCTTCCTCCCAGCCTTATGAAGGAACCAACCCTCCTAACAGCTTGGTCTTGGACTTCCAGCCTCAAGAACCACAAGACAATAAATTTCTGTTGTTTAAGTCAGCACTCAGTATGTGGTACTCTGTTATGGCAGTCCTAGCAAACCAGTACAATTTTTAAGCTGTAAGTCACTAAGGCTAGCTAAGGTAGCAAATCAAAACTTTAATTTAAAAAGAAAGAAGCTTTTGAAATTGTTTACAACCACTTCAGAGATAGAGAAAACAAAAGCAAAAGCAATGCACTAAAATCAGTTCATGTTAAATGACAAAAAAGTTCTTAAATGATTAATTTTTTAAAAAGTATAACCAGTTTCCCTTTGATATAAGTACCTTGTCTCAAATGCTGACTAAAATGAGACAAACAGAATCTCTAATTAATTTCTCACACCTTTCCTGTCTGTTTTTTTCAATACACCAACTTAATCTTACTTTTTCGGGAATTTGCTCACATTCCAGTTTTACTTTCCATTTTATTTTCTCGTGTTTCTTCAACTTCTGTATCATCTATTTCACTACTGATTCTTTAGCAAAAATATCAAGTAACACAAAAGGGTTTTCAACCTGAAAAGGGCTCATACCACAATATTAATATCCACTGCTTTGGTTTACCTTCAACTTGCCCTCAAAGGAATTCCAAAATCAGATTCTACTGCAAATATTTCAGGGCAATGTACAAAATTATGATAAACAGTAAATGTCAACATACATTTATGAGTAAACTGCAAAGCTTAAACTTTAAATTACATAACCTTAATAGTCAACTATTAGCAGCTAAATAAATCATCTATGCTTTCAAAAAATACTGAGAATCCACCATATACCACGCTCTGGGTCTTAAATCCTGGGATATAACAATGAAAAAGACTTTGTTCCCAAGGTCTGAGAACTTTCTGAGAACTTTCTATCTACTTGGGAGAAAGAAAGAAAGACATTTTGATGTGGGGTGATAATAACTGGTGTATACAATGGAATATTACTCAGCCATTAAAAAGAATACATTGGAATCACTTCTAATGAGATGAACGAAACTGGAGTCCATTATACAGAGTGAAGTAAGCCAGAAAGATAAAGACCAATACAGTATACTAACGCATATATATGGAATTTAAAAAGAATTAATGATAACCCTATATGCAGGACAGAAAAAAAGACACAGATGTATAGAACAGACTTTTGGACTCTGGGAGAAGGCAAGGGTGGGATGATCTGAGAGAATAGCATTGAAACATGTATATTATTGTGTGAAACAGATTGCCAGCCCAGGTTGGATGCATGAGACAAGTGCTCAGGGCTGGTGCACTGGGAAGACCCAGAGGGATGGGATGGAGAGGGAGGTGGGAGGGGGGATCGGGATGGGGAACACATATAAATCCATGGCTAATTCATGTCAATGTATGGCAAAAACCACTACAATACTGTAAAGTAATTAGCCTCCAACTAATAAAAATAAATGAAAAAAAAAAAAAAAAGAACTGGTGTATATATGAGGAACATTTTTAAACCTAAGATATGGGGACCAACAGAGAAGGCAATGGCACCCCACTCCAGTACTCTTGCCTGGAAAATCCCATGGATTTTCCTACCTGGTAGGAAACCTGGTAGGCTGCGGTTCATGGGGTCGCTAACAATCATATACAACTGAGCGACTTCACTTTCACTTTTCACTTTCATGCATTGGAGAAGGAAATGGCAACCCACTCCAGTGTTTTTGCCTGGAGAATCCCAGGGACGGCAGAGCCTAATGGGCTGCCATCTATGGGGTCAAACAGAGTCGGACATGACTGAAGTGACTTAGCATGGAGACCAAAGGTTTTCTGAACCTAAAAGGTATGTAAGAATTGAAAACAAAGAAGAATGTCAGGGAGAAGAATATTTCAGGTAGAATTCAGGGTACCTTTTGAGGTCAGAAGAGAGCCAAACTTATATTCAAGCGGGAAGATCAAAAAGGAATGTTGTTGGGACTTCCCCAGGGGTCTGGTGGTTAAGACTCTGCTTTCAATGCAGTTCAATCCCTGGCTGGGGAACTATGATCCCATATGCTGTATGGCATGGCTAAGAATATATTTTTTTAAAAAAGCAAGAAAAGTTGTTCTCAGGGTCACTAGAAATGAGAAGCTGAACAAGCAGAGACCGTCTCAGATGACTACTAAAGGATATTCCAACAAAACAAAAAACAAACCTAAGAAAGATGAAAATGGGAACTATAAGAAACAAAGAGGCCAATAAAATATACAGATAAACCTAAATAATGGTAGATGCTGTAGACACAGGGTGGAGAGGGAATGGCAACCCACTCCAGTATTCTTGCCTGGAGAACTCCATGGACAGAGGAGACTAGTGGGCTACAGTCCATGGGGTTGCAAGGAATCAGACACGACTAAGCGATTAACACACACATAGACACAGGGGGCTGAAGACAAGTAGTGACTATGTGATAAAAGCGTAAGGTCTGCATTACAAGGGCAAAGACTAGACAATTTCAAAAAGAACATGCTGCAAGCAGAAAGTACTGCCAGCACAGGACTGTGAATAGTGACCCTGCACTTGTTTCAGAGTTACAGGAGGAGCTGGGACGTTAGTTTCATCCAATCCAACAGTTACTACACTCATCTGTCCTGCGTCACGTCCATCACATGAGGGACCAAGGCCATTGTTACGAGAGCCAATAAACCAAATGCTGTGGACTAGCACTGGTGGAGTTTCTAGTCATGTACTGTCTTATATAGGAAGCAAACGCTCCTTAGGCAAAGCAATAATGACTACAGCAACAGTAACGGGAGCATCTGATGTGCTTTATGCCTACTCTGTGCCAGGTGCTGTTCCATGCACATTAGACACACCACAACAGCCCTCCACATACATACTACTGTTAAAAAGCCCATTTTACAGATGAGAAAACTGAGTATGGAATGTTTACAAAACATGTCAGAAATCCAGCAGAGCAGAACTGAGATTTGAGTTCAGGCAGGCAGAACCAACTTCCTATTCAAAACATCTACTAGGGACTTTCCTGGCAGTCCAGTGGTTAAGACTTCACATTGCCTCTGTGGGGGGCACGGGTTCCATCCCTGGTCTGGTCAAGGAATTAAGATCTTGAATGTCACTCGGCCAAAAGAAAAAAGAAGAGGCAATTGCAATATTTACTAGCAGAAGCAGTGTTAGTCACTCAGTCAGGCCCGACTCTTTGCGACCCCATGGATTGTAGCTCGCCAGGCTCCTCTGTCTATGGGATTCTCCAGGCAAAAATACTGGAGTTGGTAGCCATTCCATTCTCCAGGGGATTTCCTGACCCAGAGACTGAACACAGGTCTCCTGCATTGCAGGCAGACTTTTTACCATGTAAGCCACCAGGGAAGCCCCAAGTATCTACTAGACAAAATCTTATATCCAAAATTGAACTCTTGATACAATCCCCCTGCAATCTTAAAACAGCAACTCTAACCTAATGATACAAACCAAAAATCTTGAAGTCGACCTTAATTCCTCTCTCATATTCCCCATCCAGTTTTCAAAATACATCCCTACCTGATCACTTAAAAAAAAAATCTAGCCATGTGCCCTTTATTGAGCTTCGCCCCAATTGCTCAGTAGTAAAGAATTCACCTGACAATGCAGGAGACCCCGGGTTCAATCCCTGGGTCAAGGAAGATCCTGGAGAAGGAAATAGCAACCCACTCCAGTATTCTTGCCTGGAAAATTCCATGGACAGCGGAGCCTAGCGGGCTACAGTCCATGGGGTTTCAAAGAGTTGGACATAACTGAGCAACTGAACACGCACTTTAAAAATTGTTTTATTCATTTTTAATTATTTTTGGCTTTGCTGGGTCTTCCTTGCTACAGCATATGCTTTCTCTAGTTTTGGAGCTCCGGGATCTCACTGCAGTGACTTCTCTGGCTGCGGAGCATGGGCTGAAGGACACAAAGGCTTCAGTAATTGTGGTGCACAGACAGTTGCTCTGGGGCATGTGGGATCTTCCCTGACCAGGGATTGAACCGGTTTCCCACACATTACAAGGCAGACTCCTAACCACTGGATCACCAGAGACGCCCCAGACCTGACCACTTCTTGCTACTAACTCTACGATCCCAACTACTCCTGGCCACTGCAGTCTACTCTCAACAACCAGATGGTCCTGCTAATGTGTAGGTCTCGGCTAAAAAACCCTCCTATACTTACCTCTCAACTCACTCAAGGTAAAAGCCAAAGCTCTCATTATGGTAACTGCAAGTCCCTACACAATCTGTCCCTCCCCATCTGCCCTCCATTCCAATATCTCTCAGGTTCTTGTCTTTCAGTCCCACCATTCTTCCTCACCACTGCAGTTGTCATTCTGGCCACTCCGCTCCCATCACAGCAAGCCTACTCCAGCTCAGGACCTTTACATGAATACTCCTCCCACTATATGATCAACCTCTCTCGCCTCCTTCCAGCCCCTACTCAAATATTCCTCATCAATGTTATTAGTAAACGTTCCTTAACTACCTTCTTTAAAAGACCTACGTCTTCCCTACCATCCCATCCTCCCTTACCCACTACCCAGCTTTCACTTTCTCCATGGCAGTCTCTACCTCTTTAAACATAAAGGAAATAATACACCCCAATGGAGTTCGCTGCTTTATTATGGTCTTTAGGCTTTTTCCGGCTTCCCTGGTAGCTCAGATGGTAAAGCGTCTGACTGCAGTGCGGGAGACCCAGGTTCGATCCCTGGGTTGGGAAGATCACCTGGAGAAGGAAATGGCAACCCATTTCAGTACTCTTGCCTGGAAAATTCCATGAACTGAGGAGCCTGGTAGGCTACAGTCCATGGGGTCGCAGAGTCGGACACGACTGAGCAACTTCACTTCACTTAGGCTTTTTCAATGACTACTCGCTCACGACTCATTTTTTTCTACCGAAGAAAGCCCAGCACGTGTAGTGAGAACCACAAATGATCTGTCCCTCCGGGAGCTGACGGTCTGGAAGGCTACTGGGACCGCAGGCGGGCTCCCTCCCAGCCAGAGAGACCTGAGCGCGGAGAAAGGGGAGCATCCTGAACCTCCCCCGCCCCCACCCCGCTCGCCGCCTGAACCCCGCCGCTCCCCGGGCCCAGGTTCCCGCGCCTCTGGCCGCGGCGGTCTACGAATCGGGACCCAACCCGGGCTTTAACTCCTGTCCCCTAACGACCTCTGGGCGCCGGGTCGACCCACGCGCTCCACGCCGGACCTCACGGCGCCGCCCCCGCGGACTCCCGGAGCAACTAAGAGGCAGAACCCGGCTGCAGCCCCTGCGTTCAAAGCATGAAAAGACTAGACGTCACCTTTGGTCAGAATCCGTGGCGGACTTCTTGCCAAGAGCCGGGTTTGGGGGTTTGGAGAACAGATTCTCAAAGTCCATCATTCTCTTCGGCGCCGACTCCGGGGAGCTACCGAGAAACAAGCCCGGCGCGAGGAGGTCCCACACCACGCTACTCGCCGTCCGTAGGTCACACCGCGCAGGCGCCGTTCAATCTCTGCGCTGCGCAAGCCGGCTCTCCCCGCCCCCGCCGCTCTGCGCAGGCGCTGTGCTCATTCTGTTCAGTTATGTGTACTAACAGGTTTTTAATACGTTATCTCAAATCGTTAGTAGAATTAAAACTTAGCCCTTGAGACTCTACTTTGGTGTAAACTGTCCGACCGAAGTCACAGTGTTTCTAAGGAATGATACCAATTATGCGTGCGCGCTCCTCAGTCAGTTCAGTTGCTCAGCCGTGTCCAACTCTTTGCGATCCCATGAACCGCTGCACGCCAGGCCTCCGTGTCCATCACCAACTCCCGGAGTTTACTCAAACTCATGTCCATTGAGTGAGTGAGGCCATCCAGCCATCTCATCCTCTGTCGTCCCCTTCTCCTCCTGCCCTCAATCTTTCCCAGCATCAGGGTCTTCTCAAAGCAGTCAGTTCTTCCCCTCAGGTGTCCAAAGTATTGGAGTTTCAGCTTCAGCGTCAGTCCTTCCAATGAATATTCAGGATTGAGTTTCTTTAGGATGGACTGCTTGGATCTCCTTGCTGCCCAAGGGACTCTCAAGGGTCTTCTCCACCACCACAGTTCAAAAGCATCAATTCTTCAGCGCTCAGCTTTCTTTATAGTCCAACTCTCACATTTGTACATGACTACTGGAAAAACCATAGCTTTGACTAGACAGACCTTTGTTGGCAAAGCAATGTCTCTGCTTTTTAATATACTGTCTAGGTTGGTCATAACTTTTCTTCCAAGGAGCAAGCGTCTTTTAATTTCATGGCTGCAGTCACCATCTGCAGTGATTTTGGAGCCCCCCAAAATAAAGTCTATCACTATTTCCACTGTTTTCCCATCTGTTTACCAAGAAGCAATGGGACCAGATGCCATGATCTTAGTTTTTTGAATGTTGAGTTTTAAGCCAACTTTTTCACTGTCCTCTTTCACTTTCATCAAGAGGCTTTTTAGTTCTTCTTCACTTTCTGCCATCAGGGTGGTATCATCTGCATACCTGAGGTTATTGATATTTCTCCTGGCAATCTTGATTCCACCTTCTGCTTCTCCCAGCCCAGCGTTTCTTATGATGTACTCTGCATATAAGTTAAAAAAGCGGGGTGACAATATACAGCCTTGATGTACTCCTTTCCTGATTAGGAACCAGTTGTTCCATGTCCAGTTCTAACTGTTGCTTCTTGACCCACATACATATTTCTCAGGAGGCAGGTCAGGTGGTCTGGTATTCCCAGCTGGAGCTGCTGCTGTATGGCGCTGGAGCGACTTTAAGGAGATACCCCACGTCCAAGGGCAAAGGAGAAGCCCTAGCAAGATGGTAGGAGAGGCAAAATCGCTTGTGCACTTCTAGCTGATATTTATTTGAGTACTCACTTTGTACCAAGCATCAGTTCACATTTTCGATCACCTTATCCTCAAAACAGCCGTCTAAGGAATATACTGTTACCTTCCACACTTGAGTAAACAGCTGTGGACAGATTTTGTGACAGATTCTACAGCAGACTTCCTTGGTGGATCGGACAGTAAAGAATCCCCCTGCAATGTAGGCCACCTGGGTTCGATCCTTGGGTCAGGAAGATCCTCTGGAGAAGGGAATGGCAACCCACTCCAATATTCTTGCTTGGAGAATACCATGGACAGAGGAGCCTGGCGGGCTACAGTCCATAGGGTCGCAAAGAGTCAGTCAGACACGACTCAGCGACTAAGCACGAACTCAAACACATCCCATGCAATATTTAGGAACTACATATACTAAACACTTATTTATTTATATTTTATTTTGGCACCTTTTCTTGCTGCAGCAGACAGGGATTGGGGCCCTGAGCTTTTCATTTGTAACTGCATATCTGTGGGGCTACCTTTGTTTTGAAGAATTTTTTGTTAACCATCATTGAGAAGGAAGGAGTTTCTGAATCTCTGATTTGAAAGGCGGGGGGGGGGGGTGTCTTATGTAGCCAGCCCAAGTCCATCAAAGGCTATATCACCTTTGAGGTTGATAGGGAATGGTTGTCCCTCTGTTCTGCTGGTCACTGATTCTCAACACGTGGAAAGTTGGCTTTTAAAATTAATAAAAATGAAAGAATGCCCATTTATTTAATTTTCTTTCATCAGAGGTTTGTAGCTTTCCTCATACAGATTCATGTACATATTTTGTTAGATTTATACCTGAGGGTTTTTTTTTTTTTGGTCTTCATGTAACTTTTTTAATTTCAAATTTCAATTATTCATAACTAGTATGTATCAAAGCAATTGACTTTTGTATATTAACCTTGTATTGCTGCAACTTTGCTTTAATTGTTTGTTAGTTCCAGGATTTTTGGCCAATTATTTGGAATCAGCAGTTGTCAAGGGTGGGGTTGGGGGTGGGGTAGGGAAGGAAGAATGATTAGGTAGAGCACAGCAGATTTTTAGAGTAGTGAAACTATTCTGTACACAGTGATGAGGGACACGTACTATTGTATATTTGTCCCGTTGAATACAACGCAGAGTGAATCCACTGTAAACTATGGATGTTGATGTATTGGTATTGGTTCATCAGGTGTAACAAATGTTCCACACTAACCTAAGATGTAAAGAATGGGGTAAACCGTGTTGGGGGGCAAGGGCAATTTGTTCTTCCCAGTTTTCGTGTAGACCTAAAACTGCTCTAAAACAAAGTCTGTTTTAAAAAGACTGTTGATAGGGGGCTTTTGTGAAATGAAGATGCCCAGGGTTAGCTGGAGGGGAAAAAAGGGGTGGGTATTAAGTGCTAAGAGGATACAGAAGAGAAAAAAGCACATTGGTTGGGAAGACTTCTGAAAAGGGGTATTATTTGAGCTTTGTCTTGAGGTAATTTCCACTGGAACAGATGAAGTTAGAGGTAAACGGGCATCATATGCAGACAGAAATATATCAAGTCAGGAAAATAAAGCACACTTGAAAAACAGGGAACTGGGAATTTTTTAGTTTTGTTTAATATGATGCCATTATACGGTTAATCATGAAAAATAAATCTCAAAAGGTAGATTGGCCCACCCTACAATAGCCTCGCTTGCTGCTTCTTTTAGGGAAGGACTGTTTGACTCCTGGCCCAAATCAGGGTCTATTTCACAGACAAGCCAAGGGAAGTTCTCTGAAGCCATACATTTTCCCAGGGAAGATGTACCTTCCCCTGTTGGTCATGCTGTTGGCAGTCACCTTCTTTTACACATGAAGCATTACTAAGGGGAAAACTGAATTAAGGTAGTAACCTTTCATTGGAGGAAAGGGCTGCTATTATAAAACTCAAAGTATTACCATGCATACTTTTTCACATAAAATGTCCAGTGTATAGCAAAAGATAATCAGGCCACAAAAGGAAATTAAAATGATAGATAAGGGACTTCCCTGGCAGCCCAGTGATTAAGACTCCAAGCTTCCAATGCAGGGGGTGTGGGTTCGATCTCTGGTGGGGGAACTAAGATCCCACATGCCTCAGGGCATGGCCAAAAAGAAATTAGAAAAATCAGGAAACAGGAAAAACTGACCTGAAAAGGTATCAGATACTAGTTTTTTCAGATAAAGACTATAAAAGGCTACATATGTTTGTGGTAGGTCGATTTCCCCCAACGGCCCCCATTCTCCACCTTTCCCTATATCTGCATCCTTTACAATATGACTTTGCTGCTCTTCCCATCCAGAGATGGACTGTATTCCTCCTTAATCTGACTTGGACTTAAGACTAACTAATAGTGTGCAGCAAAAATAGCATGCCACACTATGAAAAACATGATGGAGGTCCCTTAAAAACTAAAACTAGAGTTACCCTATGATCCAGAAATCCCACTCCTGGGAAGATATTTGGAAAAGATGAAAGCTCTAATTTGAAAAGATACACACACCCCTATGTTCATAGTGGCACTACTTAAAATAGCCAAGACATGGAAGCAACCTAAATGTCCAATGACAGATGTATGGATAAAGAAGATGGGGTAACCTCCCAGAATATTGGAAATAAAAGCAAAAATAAACAAATGGAACCTAATTAAACTTAAAAGCTTTTGCACAACAAAGGAAACTATAAGCAAGGTGAAAAGACAGCCCTCAGAATGGGAGAAAATAATAGCAAACGAAGCAACAGACAAAGGATTAATCTCAAAAATATACAAGCAACTCCTCCAGCTCAATTCCAGAAAAATAAATAACCCAGTCAAAAAATGGGCCAAAGAACTGAACAGACATTTCTCCAAGGAAGACATACAGATGGCTAACAAACACATGAAAAGATGCTCAACATCACTCATTATCAGAGAAATGCAAATCAAAACCACAATGAGGTACCATTACACACCAGTCAGGATGGCTGCTATCCAAAAGTCTACAAGCAATAAATGCTGGAGAGGGTGTGGAGAAAAGGGAACCCTTTTACACTGTTGGTGGGAATGCAAACTAGTACAGCCACTGTGGAGAACAGTGTGGAGATTCCTTAAAAAACTGGAAATAGAACTGCCATATGACCCAGCAATCCCACTCCTGGGCATACACACTGAGGAAACCAGATCTGAAAGAGACATGTGTACCCCAATGTTCATTGCAGCACTGTTTACAATAGCCAGGACATGGAAGCAACCTAGATGCCCATCAGCAGATGAATGGATAAGGAAGCTGTGGTACATATACACTATAGAATATTACTCAGCCATTAAAAAGAATTCATTTGAATCAGTTCTAATGAGATGGATGAAACTGGAGCCCATTATACAGAGTGAAGTAAGCCAGAAAGATAAAGACTATTACAGTATACTAACGCATATATATGGAATTTAAAAAGATGGTAACGATAACCCTATATGCAAAACAGAAAAAGAGACACAGATGTACAGAACAGACTTTTGGACTCTGTGGGAGAAGGTGAGGGTGGGATGTTCTGAG